GAAACAAACACACAATAGAGAGAAAAGGACAGAGGGGAATAAACCTGACTAACCCTAGTCAGTCAGGCATCTGACTAACCCTAATGCTTTCCTAGATGCCTGGAGGTAATAAAACTGCTCATAGTGTGGTGCTGTGGTGGGGAGATGATTAGTAGGGCATTGTCTTCCTTCCTTCAGTAGCAGAATTTGCACTGGTTTAAGAGCAGTTCTTAGAATACCACAGGTGATCAGAGGCAGCACAAATACTTTGGTGTGTATACAGATTAGAATGCAGAGTGATGCATCTGTATAAGTACATACAGACACACTGAGTTCTGTCTTTATCACCAAATTGGCAGCCTTGAAGACAAAGCCTCATCGAACGATGGATAGTCTTTCATTTGTGCGTTGTGCTCATTTTCTCAAAAGTTTATATATCCTGGAAACGGCAAAGCTATTTGAATCCCCCAAGTATGCCATCTCTTAGGCTTTATGCCTTCCACATGGTTATAATTTGAGATTTTCCAGATTTTCAAAGCTTTTTTGAGCCTAGTGTTGTTAATTAAAATGTGGACTAGTTTTGTTGTGGCCCTTTGTGTTGCCAAGTAGGGAAATCACTACCCTCTTTGTTGTTCTCTCCATCTTTCCTTTGCCTTTCTCCCTCTCTCTTTCCCACTCTCTTGTCACATCTGCCGTAGTCAAGAATAAAGCTAGCCCAACCACTTTGCAAATGAAACATCCTTCCACTATTAATGGGATTGAACAGATGTTTTCTGTTTCAGTGGTCAGAGATGGGACATTAAACCCTGCAGAAAAACAAAAAGAAAAGATTTTTGAGAAAAAAATAACAGAAAGCAAAAGCAGATATTTATGGAAATGTTTATATCACTTCCCTCATGTCCCATAAGGATGCATGTCTCGCACACATGGCAAATTAGAGGTCATCCCTTCCAGTTCAGTGCATATCTTACTGCATATGCCATTGATTTTGGTACTAAAACACCGTAAATAACTGTAATCCCTGGGACGAGGTGTTATAAATAGGACGTGTCAAACCCTGCTCCAGCCAGGCTCTGGTTTCCCCAAAACCCTTTCTTTTCGCCCACCAAGTGGCTCAGCTACTTTTTAATTTGGCCTTCCCTTGGGCTAACCGACTGACGCCTCTCAGTGAGGGCCCCTGTATTTCAACAAGGCCACAAAAGCCCCAGTCTTCAGGCACTCATGCTCATAAAGTTCTCCAGTATTTCTTAGCTGTTACTTTTTTGGAGCCCAGACTCTACCATCAGCAGAAAAGAAAGACTGGCCCTGGTCAGAATGCAGCAGCCAAATCTCATCTGTCAGAAAACCAGGGGCCAGATTCTCCAGCCACTGGGTGGGCAGGGCTCGTCCAAAACAGAGGGAGGAGGAAGAAAGAGTGGAGTGAGGGGGAGAGAGGTTTTGAGAGCAAGAGGAAGCTTCCAGATAAACAGGCTGCAGCGCCTCAGCTCCTAATCACTCTGCACTTCCGTTTCCAGACTCTATAATTAGAAGGGCCCCGTCCTTTTTTCTCTGTATTCCGAGTTGACGCAAATGCTTCTTGTGGCTTGGCACCTCATTTGGGGCGTGGGTTTTCAAGAGTTTGCAGGCCTCAGGCCTTGGCTCTCTGGCTTTTTGGTTGCTCTGATAGAACATGAATAGCTAACCACTGTCTTAATACACACTTCACTTGGCTTTTTTTCTGCTTTCCTTCCTCCACCTCTGTTAATCTGCATGACCCTTTTGCTTACCCAGTATATATACCTCCTTCACTCCACCTCTTTATCATGTTTAAAAAGAACTGTTCCTCAGTCATACACAAGTCTAAGGAAACTTTCATTTGTGTGAATGAATGTGCAAAATTTTGTGACACATGATTTTATTTTTTCCAGTGACAGTGTTTTCCATCTCCCTCACACATGTTGCTGAATCCTTTTAATCTTATGCCATTTCATCTTCCTCTTTTCACATTTGACATGCCACCCAATAAAGCCTGGCCACTAATTAAAACCTACTGCAGCTTAGCAGCAGGCAGAAGTTTTAAATCGTGCACTGTGTATCAGTAATTTTCAGTTTCATTATGTTGCTTTCTAACATTTTGCCTGATCTATTGTCACATCTCAGAAGGCTTCTGGGGATGGGTTTTGGGCTGCGCTTGAAAAGCAGTGCTGGATTTTTTTGTAGCTAAGCCAGTTTAGTTCTTGGTTTGTTCTGGTGTGGTTTGTTGAGCATGTTGTTTATGGTGAGGGCCCAAACCTTCTCGAGTTTGACAAGCTTCAGATAAAAAGGGACAAAATGAATGGGCCTGTCAGTGGGGGTTACCGTTGTGTTGAGCTGTGGTTCAGTGTTTTGGTGAATCTTGATGTGTGCACACACACACACACACACACCCCATAACCATCCACGGATGTATGTACACATAGATTCCCTCTTTTACAGACGCACATCATCTTGTCTCTGCACATGACTTGAGCCCTGCTTTTAACCAGACTGAGCTATCATGTGAGGGAAGGCTGCATTTCATGACAGCAACAAACAGCCGCTAGCTTTGTTTTAACGGAATGGTTTGTTTGTTTTAAAGGCACATACAGTGGGTACAGAAAGTATTCAGACCTCCTTAAATTTTTCACTCTTTGTTATATTGCAGCCATATGCTAAAATCATTTAAGTTCATTTTTTTCCTCATTAATGTACACACAACACCTCATATTGACAGAAAAACACAGAATTTTTGACATTTTTGCAGATTTATT